CTGGCTAGACCACTATGGTCTCGCTCAGACATCAACTTACGTGCTAAGCTGCTGAGATATACAAAGCATCAATCAGACTGGTGTTAGTATATGTTTGCGGAACATGGCATGTCAGAAAGGCAGACATCCTATCGCTCGAAGTCTTTGACCGTTGATATCTTCTACGCCTCTTAAGAGTCTTATGGCAGGATCGATTTTCCAATTTCAAGCTATATCGCAAGTGTTTCAAACTGCATCTAGCATCATACATCCGGCATCGCCGATTGCAATGCTTTGGACATGTCCCGCGCAAGATATCGCCGGACCTCTGCAGATTGGTCGTGGATACCTAACGTAGTGCAAACTGGAGATGCCGACATGGCTCAACACTGCTAAGTCGGAAGTCGAAGGCATGGGCCTCGTAACCGTTTACGGTTTGAGACACACGGTTAACATTTGCGAGGAGCCCGCTTCCGATTGTTACCAATGAGCGGCCGCTATCCGTGATAGCCGTGAAACCGATTCATCCAACAGTGGGAGTTAATCGGATCAAGTAAGTAAGTAAGTACAACGGTTAAAATTCACAAAGACAGTGCAAGGGGGCGGGGGCGGAAATAGACTTACAATGACTGCAACTTGACTTGTTATAGGTAGGTTCGCAAGACGGTTTTGGCGATTTTTCGGGGGCAACCAGTCGCTGATAAGGCGGACGTAGGGTTTTAAGAGATCAGTCAGCGTGATCTTTTGGCAGGCTGCGATGATACGTAGCAGGCGTCTGGCTTCCACCCGCACTGCCTTGGCTTCACTCAACAGCGCCTCGACAAGTTCCGGCAGTACGGCATCCATTAATGGGGTCTGATATAAGAGAAAACCGAAACACTGAGCACCCGAAACTAGAGCAATCCAGTACTGGCCCTTACAGGAAAAAAATAACAAACCAGGAGATAGTAATCGTGGGGAGGAATTTAACGTCGTTGGTGAGATGCATAGGCGGTTGGAGTTAAGGCCATCATTATGCTAGGGTTTACTAATGACTTAGGAAGCAAAAATGCAGTTCAGAGGTGTTCGCAAGAAGCAGGAAATAACCGAGCAACAGCTGACTGATAAACTATTTCCTGCGGGTACGACAGAGCTCGGTGAAAGTTCACAAATAACTGAGAGCTTTAAAGAACTACTGGAGGAAACTGTTTTGTCCTCCTGGCACTAACGTGTTGCCACTCGCCGGAAGAACTTGGTGTGCGCAGTAACGGGTTGTCGCCGATACAGGGCTCCAAAAAGAGGTCATGCGGCTGCATTTGGTCTACATGGGAGTCTAGAAATAAGAAGATGGACTGCGCGGATACATTAAGCCTAACCAAGGGCAACACAGGCATGTGGAATGCGTTCGTCTCAGCAGCCAGAGTAGATTTGATTCGGACTTGCTACTATTAATGAAACGCAGCTAAACTTTGACGAATTGCCTCAGAACGTGCCTTCATGGTCTACCAACTAATGAAATGACCCGGCCCTTCACAGGACCGAATACCAGGCGCCAGCAACTCATTCTTGGGTTAGACCCACTTTGAGGAGTTGCCGGCCTCTGTAGTCTGTTGTCACTTCTACTCTGCGTTGAGGATTGCGACAAATTATATTAACATTTAGTAACACGCGCCGTCCGCAAACTGGTTGCACACAGTCTGGTAGCCTATAATTTTTAAGCACTTCTAGACAAGCCTCAAATAGAAAAAACGCTAGCCATAAGACCGCATTGGGAGAAACTGTGGTACCGCAGGACATTTTGGAAGAACCAGCCTGCATGCTAGACAAACATTCGAAACAAATGTCGCTGATTTAAGTAGAAATGTGCGCAGTGTTGATACCCGCAGATCTTGGCGTGCTAAAGGATGCTCTCCACCTAAGTAATAGTTAGACCAGACGAAAGCCATCGGCTAAAAGACAACCAATAAAGAAAATTAGAGCACATACAGGAACAAAGGGCACCGTCTGCTCTTCCTTGACCTTGAAAGTCAGAGCAATTTCGTCTGCTGTTGTTGTCGGTTCTTCAGACGGGACAGCAGAGGATTGGTGATCTGGCGGTGAGGATTCCCTGCTGACGGTTCTTGCGCTTCCACGTTTGCTCGCAACTGCCGTAGTCGACGTCGACGCCTTCTTCTGACCAGTCCTCCTCCGGACCGCAGCACTCCGCTTACTGGGTTCT